CTTTGATGCTTGCAAATTTATAGGTTTCTGAAAGTTTCTCCCTCTGATGGTTATTGCTTTTATTTGATTATTAAATTGTGGTATTTGTTCAAATTAAATCATGTCAAAAATATTTCCTCGATTTCATCTACCAACATGAAAACTTCTATCAATTTGCAAGTAATCAATTGGAGACCAAGAGTTTCTGTATTATCCAACATATTAAACACCCTATATAATCTGGATGCCTCTGGTATGTGATGAGTACCCAGATGAAGCATTTGCTTTACCTCTCTCCTTGTCTCCATTCCACTGTGAATTTATCTCCATTGATTAGAGGCATATCTCCTGGGTGTGTCAAAGATATTGTTTTTTTTTGTTGAACTGGAATTCATATCCTGTTGTGAATGAGTTACTTTTGTTTCATTCGGTGGGGTGACTCCTGTCCTGTTCGCATGATTGTTCGTACTTAATACTCTCTGGCACCTGCATCAGCATTTTAACATTCTGATTCTGAGAACTAGATTAGTTACCTGGAATGCAATAGAGTAGATGTTATGAATCTGATTATTCAGTGATTTATAGTGAGTGGAAGTTCAGAATGTGTCTGACTATCAGGCTTCATAATAACTTATTTGTCTATGCATGGTAGTGAGTCATGAATGTCTGGAAATGGAAAACATTTGTCATGCCAACTAAGTATGTGGCAGTCGTATATAATCCATGTTCTGTTGGTTGACAAGTCGTTTTCCCCTCTGCCTTTGCATGGTCTGTTTCATCCACGGAGAGTTTCATCACAATGTTGTAAGGCAGCCGATTTATGACTTTCCTACTTGCTAAGGAGTGTCTGTTTTCTGTACGAAACTATTCACTTGTGTCATTGGCCAAAGTTGAAAGCGTGAGTTAAAATTTTCTGGTTTTCTGGCTAAATTTTTCATTTAATGGCCAACAGTTATGAGTCTAGCTTTCAATTCGGCCCTGAAGTGATAAAAGTTAGCATTTCTCGTTGTTCGTCGTTCATGTTAATATTGACTATGCCATCAATTAGGCTAATCTTCGCAATTCGGTTTCATTTTGGTATCGATACTTCCGAGGGTGGCGTTAACCGTCGTTCGCCTCATTCGTTACAAGGATCGTGTTTAATTCTAATTGGGGTTGTCACTATAAATGGGCGGTGGCATTGTTGGTTTTACCAGTCTTCGGGAGGGAACTGGCGAATAGAGAAAGAAACTACCATAATGAAAATGAGCGAATTCGCGCTTGTGATGATGGGACTCTTCTGAGCTTGGTAATCTAGTGAGAAAAATGAAGGAAAGAGATGATAGAGGTCACATCTGCGTCGGGCGAGATAAAGCAAGATACAGGTTCTCTTCAGAAAATTTTTTTAGTCCTCTGTACCTCTCTGGTGGCTTTAGGCCCCTTCCTGCACGACATTGCGGCGCCTCACGAAATAGGCTCCTGTTCGTGCAACAAAGCCCGAAATTTTCGTCAGAGGAAATTACCGTTCTTTCGTCTCCCCGTCATTCGTCTACATATCGTCAGCGTCTATCCATATATGTATAATTTGATGCAGTAGCAATGGTGCATGAAAGGTTCTGGTCGATGCATTAATGCTTTTCAAAATTGTCGTCGCAAACAACCCTGATTCCAATGTGACGCCGGTAATGGTGTCAGGTGTGGTCTGCGCACACTCGTGCATCTGCAGCTTACTGCATGGTGTCACGTGTGATCTCGCTCCTCTTTTCCTCGTTTGCTCACCCTTTGCCTCACCTTTCACCTTTCTCTGCGAGCATATGTAAAAAGCTATATTTGATGTGTGGTGTGGCTCACCAATTCTGCCTCCATGGCGAACGAAGCGTCCCAAGTTTAACTGAATTTGGTGTAGCCAATTTGCTAGCTTGGTCCTGGTACCACTCAGGCATTCAAGATGCTGAATCGCGAGTTTTATGCTTTGATTAGGACGGAGGAGAGTGCCATTTGATACCCGCAAGTGCAAGAAATCCCGGTAGAGCAGAGCACTGCCATTCAGTGTTCACGATGCGGGAGTGACAAAGTGAATTCTTCGCTAAAAAAGGAAGGCGGGCGGTGCTTTAGCTTCATGTGTCGCATTTAGGTGCACGCATAGGGGTTGTCAAACTTGTTTGTCTGTTAGAAAGTCCAACGCATTCTTCACATACTTGGATGGGCGTGGGCATGTACACATCAATCTGTCTGCTGCAGCAATTCTAAAGCTTCCTTTTCTGTGGCGCAGTGAGGTTTTGTATTAAAAATCAATAGCAAAATATTCTTGACTACCTTTCGACAACTGCATTCACGCCTGCTTGTTCATAGATCACGTGGTTCAGCGTAGATCACACCTGACATCCAGAAACAGTGCGTAAATCACACCTAACACGACACGTTCGATGCTCCCTGTGGAGGCCTGCGTATCAAGAGATATAGCCTACTTATGATTGTGTCTGTATGCTTGCCACGTTCGCATCAAGGGAATGGGTACTCATCACGTACTTGCACAAGAACGGGTGTCGGCAGAGCGAAATATTGGTGTGCAGATATTTATCGAAATCTCAAATATCCCATCGTTACTGATATCTATTCAATATCGTGACATCCCAAAATAATGCATGGTAAATCCAAAAGAATGCAGGGTTATGGGGTGCGGTATTCCAAGCATCTTCCTGTTCCAGAAAGAATTTTTAATCTTGCTTTCCTTGACCAAACCTTGCGTTTTGGCTTCGCATCTCAGAAGGCGGGAGGCGGAAAATCTAAACTGTCCGGTTGGGAAGTTGTAACAGTGGAATGCAGACGCATTTTTCACCTGTCATTCTTATGTGACTCACTCGAATCGAGTCATCTCTATGACCGAAAGTGAGGGAGAAACAATGTGGTTGGTTTATTTAGTTTAGATACCGTCTTTCAGCTAGTGCTATGCCTATTGTTCTATGGCCTTTAATGAATCGTGTTTGATTCCCAATCATGGTGAGTTTGTGTTTGCGGTTTTTTTTCAAGATGCCTGTTCACGATGAGGATGATGAAATAATGAAGTATTTTCATGCATTTCAAATCTGCAGTCTACACTTTTCTGATTCCTCTTATGACGAAGCTAACCAAAACTATACCATGTAGTCTCAGTCACTGAGATTTTCTTTTTTCCAAGTCAAGTGCATTAAAAGAGCATGTTTATTAATGGCATAGCTCTTTAGAGAGATATAGCTTTTCCGTCGAAATGTGACAAGGGTAATGTAGTGGACTCGTAGGAATTACTAATATCTGTTCGTGCTCATTGCGATTGGGTTTTCTGAAGATATAATTTTCTCCAGTTTGCAGAATTTCGATATGTTACCGGCTGAAATACAGTATTTTGTGCACACTGGAAAATCTCGTATGTATAGTCATTTTTATCAAAGCCATTTTGAGATAGTCAAATTTTAACAATTATGATTTCTTGTATTCCACTTGGACATTTTGCTAAGAAACCTCCTGTGGGCTTATTTACTTGGAAAGTATAATCGTGTCATCTTCGGTTTATAAATATACGTACATATATAACCTAAGCAACTGTGCGATTGCAGGAGCTCCATTTGGGTGAACGAAATGAGCTGTGGACTCTTTCCCGGTACGTGTTGGGCGCCGTCAGGGTTGGGTTCTCAGCCTTTCCTGTTCCTCGTGCGCTTGGCTAGGATCTGTAGGCGTAGCCTGGGCCTGGAGAGTGCCTTCATCGGTGGTATTGAGATAAAGGTAGGGTAAAATACCCAATGATGAGCCTGTTAGAGGCGTGTACTCAGTGATGAGCCACGGCGCAGGAAAATTCCAAAAGCTAGGCATTTATAGGATGAACACCCCTGAAGTGTGCATATGCTTTCATGTTGCTATCCTATGTCACTACAGGGGTATGCGTGCTATGGACGCTTAGCTGTTGGAATTTTGATGTGCTGTGGCCCATCACAGGGAAGCAGTGTATCACAGGGTATTTCACGCTACATCTCTTTGTCGATGAATATGTCATTTTGGCCTAGTCTTGACGGGAGCTTCAAGGCGTGCTCGATCGGTTAGACTTAGAATAAACTACGACCGTGATGAAATTGAGCGTCCGCAAAAGCGGACGCTCAATTTCATCACGCAGGTTACGGTCCTCTCGACAGGTTCTGTACGATCCGATTTACATATTAGGGAGGTCCGCTGGAACAGGTGCAGAAGTTTAAATACCTTGGGGTCTGGTCTTCGAGTGACGGGCGATACGAAAACGAGTTCGACAGCCGCATCTTCAGGACTTCCGCAGTTTTTGTGTGAACTCTGGGGGACTGTTACCGAATTTGACATTTTAAGACAAAACTTCCGGTTTTTAAGAGCGTCTACATCACCCTCTCCTACGGTCACGAGCTGTGGGCAATAACCGAACGAATGAGGTCGCGGATGCAAGCTGTCTCGATGAGGTTCAAACGGCGGGGGCCGGTGTAAACGCCTAGCGAGAGAAGCAGCCGCCGTCCCCGAGAACTTCCAGGTCTAGCAGTTACTCCTTCGGATCTAGAGATCCCATCCTCGTTGGTTTGGACACGTCTCCCGCATGCCTCCCGAGAGACTTCCAAAGTGAGTTTAGACTATGAAATGACCAGCCAGTAAGTCTCGTGTGAAATAGTCGGAATGCATCGCAACAGTTGCCGCGAGAACCTCGGGGTATCACCTGCAGAGCTCGAGCCCTCTTCCAGGATCGCGAGCAATGGAAGATGCTCTTGGGCCTGCTTGAACCGTGGCCCCATGAAGTTGGGATACGCGGTTTCGAAAGTATATGTATGTATGATTATGATCTAGTAGAAGAGAGACACAGAAGTATTGTATTAGAATAGATTAATACATTTTAACCTTTTAACGTGGAGTTTTTTTAAGTTAGACTTTTAACTTATCTTCCTTCATACCAGCAATACCGTACATTTCACGCCTGGCACTAAAAGCACTTATAATTCTTCTATGGTTTCTCTCTCTTTGTATAAGTTCTGTATTTATTTATGTCTTCGTGGGTCATTAGTGTATGCAGGTAAATTTCAAAGTGTAGCTGTCCTCATCCATGGCTTGGTAATAATCGCTGTTGCACTATTCTATGGAGCCATGAACGAACCTATATCAGTTGAGCAAAAAAATGAAGTGCGATGAAGTGGTACGATGTGATAGCAAGAAGAAAGCAAGTGTTCGCCACTCTGTATAGATGAATTTAGGACCAACTGTTGCATCGCATACAATGGATCGACGTCTCCTCACGCACCGTCGCACGGCCTCGGACGTGGTGACCTATTCGCATCGTCGCACCTTCTCCGATGAACATAACCGTATCACTGTGAGCGACGAGGAGGAGGAAGGAATTGAAGGTGCCTCCCCGCTGCCAGAACTATGTGGACAGTTGAGCAAGTGGACCAACTACATTCATGGTTGGCAGAATCGATATTTCGTCTTGAAGAACGGCACCCTGTCTTATTACAAGTCCATGAATGAGACCACGTCCGACTGTCGAGGAGCCGTCAGCATCTACAAGGCCACTGTCAAGGTAGATGCTTCGTCAGTGAAGGTAGTCTTTGGATTCTCGTTTCTGGGAGTGGTGTATTATTTTTATTTTTCCATTCCTTTTAAAGGGTCACGACTTTGACGAGTGCCGCTTTGAGGTTTCCATGAATGACTCCTTTTGGTATTTGAGAGCTGAGACATCTGAAGAGAAGCAGAAATGGTTGGAGGCTCTGGAAGCTCACAAGGTGAGCTCCCCAAGCAAGGCAATGGAGCAAGGCTCCATTCCTGTGTTGTTGCTACGAAGATGGTCTGGATGGGTTGGTCATGTGATGATTTGATTTCTTCATTAGGCTGATTCTGGTTTTGGGAGTCAGTCTTCCCTGCGTCGACATGAGAGCAGCTTATCTATTGCTTCCAACACCCTTTCCACCACCTCCACCAATAGTAAAAGTATCAGAGGTGAGCCCTAGCCTAATGATGGGTAGTTGCAAAAATTTATTTTCTACATGTGTTGTCTCTGCAAAAGACATTTTGAACAGTAACTGAAGTTACTGCGTTGCCTTCAGTGAGGAAGCTGAATGTTCCATTGCAGATAGAACTTGAAGAGAACTTGTATGTATCTTGAGCTTTCAGCATCTGGGCTTATCCTGATCTTCCAACATGTATGGGGGGAGTCAAGAGTGTTTCATTCATGATTCTTGTATACTTTTTGGTGCAGGCATTCGCGAGAAGCTGTCAGAGTTGGAGACCTTTCGAGATATTGTTTGTCGCCAGATTGACACATTGCAGGGCTACTTTGACAATTGTGCTGATACAGCCAATACTGGTAAGTCCAGATGTGGCCTCACCTCATGTGACCATGCGTAATCCATGTGCCAATAATTTAGATCTGGCATCAGATGAGCTTGGGTCTGGATATGGATGAGTGTTGAGATTGGGAATTGATATTTATAGTGAGGATGGGTAACTTTATCTTTTGTAAGCCAGTTGGATCTGGTTACTTGGGGGGGATGTGGGAATCCTCTTGGTTTTGTCAGTCACTGCCCTACTTCATTATTCTATTCCTTTCCAGAGCCTCTCTGCCTTTTGTTCCTAGATTTTGTAGTGGGGCTCTTAAGTTGAACTGTAGGGTATAGTTTATTGAAGCAGTTGACAGTGTGTTTGCATCTAATTTTTCTTGCCATTTTCCATTTATCTATATAGCTTCAGTAAGTTCCTTTTTCAATAGGTCTCTGTAGGCAAAAACTTCAAGTAACTTAAGTTCTATTGAGTATAATATCCAAGATTCTCATCTTGAGGAATATGTGTCTATCTTCTACAGGTGCAATAATTGATGAGAAACAGGATTTGCATGAAGCAGGGACCATCCTTGATGATGGTGAAGGAGGCCAATGTGAGTTTCCATTTCAGTTTTATTGCATGTCCAAGGAATCCTCACAGGTCACTCCTTACTGACTTCTCTGGCTTGGGTCTCAGTCTCTCAAGGGGGGGGGGGGGATAATACATCAGGAAGTGGTATTAGGCTAACATCTCTCAGCTCCCTCCTTCACAGAAACAGGACTTGCATTTGGTTTCAGGCATGCCAGTCCACACAGTTTCACCCTTAAAATCAATGTGTGAAACAAAAGCATCCCAATCCCAGACTCATTATTATTTCCTTATTTGTGCCATCTTCATGCATTTCTTCAAGAACCAAGCTGGTGCAGATATATGACACCTGTCCTCCCAGCACATTTATTAAGAGCTGCTTCCTATTAGTCCTGCAAACATGGATGAAGTAACCTGCCTGCAAATGAACTTTCCAGATGTGCCAATTTTACTCATTTCATCAGTTATATTCACCTCTGTATGTATGAATATCTCAAAAATGGATGATTCTGCATTTGTCCAGCTGTCCTCAGGTTGTCCCGTGTTTCCACTTAAGAGAATGCAAGAATGTGGGAAAATGATCATATGAAAAATCCAAACTATTCTTATTGATATGAAGTGGTTATTATCAGAAGTGTTTGTGTACACTTGCCTTCATGAGTGAGCAGTAGAATTTCCAAAGCTCAAACCTTTATAGAGTAGTGCTAGAATGGTTCATTTTTCCATCAGTATGAGTTTTCTTCTAACCATAACTGCTCCAACTTCTTGTGAGTGTTTACAGAATGCTAGGTCATATAAGCATGTGTAGGTATCAGGTTATGTTTCCTTTGGCTGAGAAGCCTAAGAAAGAGAGACAGCTTTTGCAGAGCAAAGGTTGTTGAAATGCCTAATTTCAGGCCTAATTCAAATATGCAGAAGGAAAGCTATTTATTTGTTTACACTTGGGGATGAGGAACAGATGCTTTGTTTGCATTCAATATATACAGTGTCACTCCCAGAGAGTGTGTGCTCTCTTAGGGTGGATTGGACTCATTCCCCTTGCCCTTCACTAGCCGATTTCTTTCACATGCTCTTTGCACACAACCCGCATCTTCATGATCATTCTCATGCCATCTTTCATTCTGAGTTGACTCCTCTGTTCAACACTTGCAACACTTAAGTGGGCCATTCAGCAGTCAATGTGAGACTTCCACATGGATGACATTCAGGTGGGGTGACTTAGTCCCATTTAATGAAGATTCATGGTTCACTATTAAAATTGTAATTGGTTACACAGTTTTAGGGTACAGGAGTAAGGAATTTTTTTATTATCACAGACTGAATTCTTGTCTTTAAAGTTGATGACTTTTCTTGTTTTCTCAAAATCTTACAGGAAGTTGTGATTTTGAAAATCTAACACTAATTGCTACTATGATCACATGCTCATATGAGTTTTTATTGAAGTGTATCTTGCAGAAAATGAACAGGTATTTGAGTAATTATTTTTTTATGAGATGCACTTGAACATGATGTAGGAAGGTACTACCTTTATTTATAGCTCTCACCTCATGGAAAGGCTTTGGATATGAATCTCTTTATACAAATTGGGTAGGAATCATTTTATCACCTTTATCATGGAAGTATGAAGTATGTATAAGGCCTCTTTCATTTGTAATGATATGATTTTAATTATAAAATTTTAGCAGTGTGATATTTTAACATCTTTGCAGTCATTGTAACTTTTGAGTATGTTTACCCAACAACCATAGTTTTAACCTGCAATATGAATGGATGTCGGTGCAAGAGCTTGTTATGTTAGTGTCAAAAAACCTTGTTTTAAGACCTATTTTCTTAATTTATGTTTTTATGTTAAATGCACAAGCATTAATTGAATTTGTTATGAATGGAATGGAAAGGAGAGGTAGACCTCTGAACTGATCACTAGAACTCAATAGAATTCAGACATCTAAAGCTGAACGTAAGCCTCTCATCCCTCAAAAAAAATAATCTTATCAAAACTGAAGCAATTTTTTAGAGATTAAAAAACAAATATTTTGTGCTTCATATTTCTCATTGTAATTTACAGCTGTCTCTCAGGGCAGGGGAGGGCTTGTTGCCTGGAAGTTGGGAAAAATCCATGTTATGTACTCTCACTCATTATAAGTTTGTGTAATTGTTCAGTATGTACGAGTATACATTGGTAGTACTTGCACTACAGGGGTGTGTGGTGGTTTTCCCTCTAGGGAGAGTGTTAATAGGAAATTTTATAGTGGAAGGGGAAGGACCTAAGGAAGCATGGGGAATTCAGATAGTTTTGCAGGCATGGAGGTATGGGAAGCAGAGTTGGGTGACTATGTGATAGTTTGACATTGAAATTCACCTCTCATTGAACCAGAATATCTGAAAAAAGGCAATAATGTTGATGTGGAACAACCTCAGGAATCATACCACAAAATTCTGGGAAGGTAAAGCAAGAGCCTTATGTATGTGTCTGTGGACTAGAAGGAATGAATTTTGGACAGATAAAGTTCACTTATTGAAAGAAAACTCTTGGCATTGGAATACTAATCCAGCACCTCTGGCATTTGAGCCTGAGTATTTTTTCTCTTGAGGGGGAGGGAAGTGGGAACCTAAGTACCTGTTTCTGACCTTCCAAGCAATAGGTACATGCTGGCCACTTGTTACCTCCAGAAGACTAGTATCTCCTGTGAGCCACATGTTCACCCTATTGCCATGATGGGGTGGTACCAATGATAGGGCTAGGATAGTAGAGTCCTACAAAGTTATCAAAACTTTCATTGGTGTGTTCCTCATCCTTATCATAAAGTCCTGCTTCTTGCTTCTAGGCTCTCAGCTTCTGAGTAGAGAGGTGATCCAACAACACGCCCATCACTCGGTGGATTTTCGTGGAGAGGCCATCACATTCAAGGCAACCACTGCTGGGATCCTTGCCACCCTATCCCACTGCATGGAGGTGTTGGCACAGCGGGAAGAGGCCTGGAGGCGCAAGTGCGAACGGGAGATGGAAAAGCGTCGCCGAGCTGAGGAGATGCTCAAGGAGGCATCCAAGGAGGCTGACACTCGAAGGCGTGTTGTTCTCGTGGGAGGACCCGATTATGAGGTCAGGAGCTGCATTTTGGGTCAGGTACTAGGCTGAGAAATGTAATGTGATCTTGAAAGTAATTATTTGCTTTGTTAGTGGGTGTTCATCATGTGCAATGGAAGAAGCAGCCAACAACCAAGAAACAAAAATAAACTGCATTCTACATTGCTTACACTTTGTCTTCCGCATAGATGTCTTCCATTGTGGAGTTAGCTGTTTAATGATATGTCATAGCATCTGTCAACTTCTGTTCTTTATGTAATGTACTTGCCTTGGTTGTCTGTCATAGCAGGAAGGGCCACACAGTGCAATAGGAGAAGAAGAGTTCTTTGATGCTGTGGAGACTGGGTTGGACAAGATAGAAGAACATGAAGAGTGGATGAAAGAGCGGCTGATGAAGGCCAGACAGCGGAGCGAGTCTACCCCGTCCACACCTCTAATTCAGCATCGCCTCTGGCCTGAGGTTAGCTTCAATTCATGGTATCTCTTTGTCATGAAAAGCTGGTTGAAAGAAATATTATGCATCTGCTTTATCTGGGGATGCATTTCATCTTTCTCTCCATGTGTGAATCATGCAAAGCTAAGTGACTGGGCTGATTATTGGGAGACATGTAATAGAAGATGCTTAGAAAAGGAAGAATCAGGCCTATGAAACAGTGGACTCATTGATTTTGGCAGCTATAATATTAAATTCTCTTTAGTTTGGAGAAAAATATTAGTGGTCCTGGTGAAAATCCTGTCAACTCCATGCGAAAGTACCAGATGCCATTATCTGAAATTTCCAATTATTTTAAAAGTTTTTTGTTCCTCTGATATTTTTTCTGTGTAAACTAAATTTACAAAGGATAAGATTTTTCTCTTTATAGACCATGTTCTCCTGCCTGGATGGAGGGTTTGGGAGGGTAAAGGGAAGTTCCTATTTCTTCTTCCTGTCCTCCATACTTCATAATTAGGGAAAGGGAAGAGGGACAGGAAGTCATTCTTCCCATGCTCTTATCTCCTCCTTCCTTGACTAACCCTGGAAAATTTTGCACTGTGAATCATCCCCCTTTGATGCTCTTCCATTGCATCAAGCAGCAGTCTCTTGCCACAAGTAACATTTTATACGAGTATCTTAAGGCATCTATACAAAAGCTAAAAGTGATGAAGTCAAAACTCTTTAATGAGGAAATCTTCTAGGCCTGCAGGCTGGGAATGGGAAGGAAGGTAGGAGGGAATGATTATGAATCCTACTGGACTGGTATTGCAAACTTTATACATTCTTGGGCAGTGATATCTCACTGTAGCAGTCTTTGAAGAATACCTTTTGCTTGTCTCTCTGGGAAGTGCACAACCTGTACTTGCTCAACATTAAAGGAAGCTAGCCATTTGTTATTAACCTAGATGAACTTGTGAAGTTCTATGGATTATTGGTAATTGAGAGTTTTCTGTATATTTGACCAACTGTGCATATGATATCTGGGGATATCATAAATATTAATGAAGAGAAATCTGGCTTAATCTTCTGAGGAACAAGAATAATTGAGAATTGAAATTCTTATTAGCTTGGCATGTGTTCATGTATGGAATCTGTTCCCAGATCAAGCAGGTGAGTGAGGAGCAGTTGAGGTATGCCCTATTGGGGGTTGAAGAGGGAGTGTGGACCCTGTTTGCCCAAGAAGGGGAGATGCGGATGTACAAGCGGGAGGAGGAGGTGGATGGGATGGTGTGTGACCCTCTGAAAGCAGTGCACACCATCCGTGGTGTCACAGCACATGAGATCACCCACTACTTCTTTCATCCAGACTATCGCATGGACTGGGAGTGTGAGTCCCTTTCTCCTATGCATCTTCCAACTTTATTATTATATTTTTCTCAGATTTGATTGTGGTCACTTGTTAAGCTGACATTCAATGAGTTTGTACCCATTATGTTCTCTTCCATAAAATGATTGCAGTGGAATAGAAGTTAATGATTCCAGTCCAGAGAGGTCTTGCTTATGTTTGATTGCTGTACCTAGAGATTGTACCTAGAGATGGATTTTATTAATTCTATCTTCAAAGCATCTTGTTCTGTAGCTCCAGACCTTGCTTATGCATTATGGGAGCTATCTCAAAGATGTCCATAGAGGCATTTATGAAACTTGCTGCCACATTAAAAGAGGAAAGACATCTGAAATGAAGCATGTGGAACCAGGAGTTAGTTCCTATCAGTAGATAGGAAGGTTTTGGTCTGCACTAGTGATGCAATAGTTAGAATTCAGTCATTCTGTCATGAATTGTCTTTTCATAAACCCAGCCTTGTCTACATTCAGTGAATGCTGTCTTTTCCCATTTATTTTTAATTGATAATAATTGGCATCTAGGTGTTTACTATCGGACAGTTTTCTTGTTTTGGTATGGAGCACTTTTAAATAAATGCAGGAGTCTTTATAGGGCATATTAACTGCAACAGACAGGCATGAAATTCTGTTTTGGTATGATGAGCCTTGGAGAGGCAACAGGAGTTTCCATCAACCCCTGTTGCCTTTCCAAGATAAGTGTATTCCCATGCTTAACCCTTTCTGGTCTATTTCTTGTGTAGATGAAAACCAGCTAGGTCATGTTTTAAAGCAGTAAATTTGTTTTATGTAGGATATACAAGGAAAATCTGAGTATATTAACAAAATTTCACCATACACTTTTATGCACTGTCCTTTTTTTGTAACTTTTGTGTTGGACACTGTGACATCCGTTCAGAACAGGAAACCAGCAATTTTGGATGGGGTCTGATATCTGTTCTGAAAGGGTTCAACAGGACATCTGCAGCAACATTTTCTGCATTTAGAAGAGAAATGGAGCTTACACAAGGCATTAATGTTGTTCCATGCTTATGTTTCTGTATGGGAATTTGTACCATTCCCTATAACTGAATGAGGGGTCCTGCAGTTTAGTGCTCCATACCAAGCAAAAAATGAGACAAAGACATCTGTCAGATGGACAACTGGAGGGGCAAATGACACTTGGCTGACATTACAATGAGATTCAAGTCATATAGTTGCTCTTGCCATAGAAACGGCTGAAAATAAAATGCCACTTTTATGAAGGTTATAGAATTGCAGCTTCAAAAAAGGCTTATATCAGGAAGGTGTAAATGCAAATGCCATGCTCTTGTAGTCACAGTGGACAATATGACGGTTCTGGAGCGGGTGTCGGAGGACTGTATCGTGTTCCACCAGATCCACAAGCGGGTGTGGCCAGCCACACAGCGGGATTCCCTCTATTGGTCCCACATCCGCCAGGTGCATCCCCCACCAGACGAGGGTCTGCATGACAGCTGGATCGTCTGCAACCAGTCCACCGAGCATCCAGAGGCTCCAACGGTAATTATGAGGAACATCTAAGGACCTGTTACAGCAAATCTCTTTTTAAAAAATTGGATGGTGATTTGGTGCATGTCTCATGCATTGCACAGAGTGGAAAGTGGCTGCGGGTAAATTTGACAGTGTGCATGGTAGCCCAGACCCAGATCGTTCCACCACCTCCTGAGGGTGAGTTGATCACCCGAGACAACCTCCAGTGCAAGATCATCTACTGCTCTGTTGGTAGGTTCTTGATTTTTCTTTTTTCCCCTTCCCTCAGATCTCTTATAATTCCCAGTCTTCTGATCAGTGGCAGATACAGTGGGATGCCTATCCACATAAAATGGAAAAGGCATTGGAAGGAGAGTGAGGGGAAAACTAGCAAAATGCCTTTACCTGTGAATGATTTCTGTATCTGCCACTAGTTTTGATTTATTCTGTGATGACTGCTGGCATTCTGTAAGCAGTATGTCCTCTGGAATCCTGTGTCGAGATATCTCACACATTGAATATCAGTTCTATATTACATGAAGTGGGACAATAAACGCAGCAAGGCAATTGATGGTTTCAAGACTCTATTTTCAAAAGGAAAATAACATCAATAAGGATTTTCAAACTGACATCAGGAAACACTATATTGAAATCAAAAGTAGCATGCAATGCACCTGGGATTCAGGAGGATATAGGATTATGTGGTGTTGACAGAAACAGATGTCCTTTCACCCCTCCCATTTCAGAAGAATCACTCTTTTTGTGATAAACTTTTCTGTCCATGCTGGATGATAATCTGCGAGGCCTGCATCATGAAATGGAGTGACCTTCTACAGGATAGTGCAAGAAAGAAGACCCCAAATTTTAACCTACATTTCTCAATAGCTATTTTTTATATATTAAACTTGAAATGTGTATGAGCAGATGTTCCCAACAGCCTTTTAGAATTTTATCTGAATTCTTTCTGTCATAATAAGGTTATCTGAAATTGGTGAAAAAAATAATCAGAAATTGTGAGTGGACAGAGAATCCGTTCTCTTTGGAGTGACCAGAATCCACCTGCTGCCTTTTCCTTCAATGTAAATGAAGGGAAAATCTGGAAAAAACACAGCTTTCACTTTCACTGATACCTATTTATTCATCCATTATTAATTCAAAAATGAGCTTGCCAAAATTATCTCCAACAGGAGCCCAACTCCAAAAAATAATTATATAGAAGGGATGTGCATACATAGTGCAAAGGCATTTCCTTCACTTTACTGCCAGCAGAGGCCCTGTTCATTTCCAATATTCAATTTGATTTGAATAATTTGCTTATTGCCTTGTCTTAGCACGATGAATTTAAAAGAAAATTTTAAAGTCTGCTGGAAACATAGCCAATGCACAGTTTAATAAGACAGCTCCAGTAAGAGCCAAAATTTACTGGTTAAGAGTATGAGGGTCTTTTTTTGTTATGCCCTGTATGGCAGGAATTTTGAGGCCTCCCCCCCAGTGATGCAAATATGAAAAATATCTTTGGACCAATGAGAACACATGTAACATTAGAAATATGAAATTTTTTAAATATTGGCAATAGTCTTGATGTTTCTTTCTGGTGGATTGACAGTGAATCCTGGAGGCTGGGCACCTGCATCAGTCCTTAGGGCAGTCTACAAGCGAGAATACCCACGGTTCTTGAAGCGGTTCACGCAATACGTCATCGACCAGTGTCAAGACAAGCCGATCTTGTTCTGAAGCCACTGCACCGTTCCCATGACAATGACAGCGGCACATTCTTGCCTTCTCTGTTTCTCTGTGTGATGCCTTCCATCCCTTTTGATTTCTGGGTGAACAGAATTCTTACAAGATCCTTTTCGATGAAAATGAGAGCAGTCAGTGGGCCACCTCATGAAGATGTAAGGCCATTACAGAGGGCATTCAGATAACAATGTTCCCTCTTTGGCATTTAGTTTATTGTCTGGGGCATTGATATTGTTTTTATTTGCTCAGATATCTGTTTTCGTCTGCAAAAGTTGCAGACGTTTTGTTTCTTCTTGGGAGCAAGTAAAATTTCAGCTGTGTCTAGACTGAATTTGCTGCATTCAGGTGTGTTCTTGTGAAGGAAGTGCACTCGCAACCTCTGGATGGTGTGGAGGTTAAACTGTTATTTCATGTTCTCTCAAAGCTTTTTATGAGTTGAATATGCTATTTATGAACTGAGGAGAGTGAGAAGATGGAGTAAAATGTTGTCCTGCTATGCCATGCTGGTGCTGCAGGGGTGTGGAGAAAGAAGAAATTGAAAGTTTCCACGAACAAATCTGTTATAAATGTCATATCAGTCTCGCACAATGGCAGCATCCTATGTAGTTCCTCTATGATATGCATTCTTGATGTCACAGAAAATTATAAAGTTGTATGCAGACCATTGGGAGAGTTGACTAAATGAGGACAGATCTGACTGTGTGCCTACATGTTCAGCTGTTCCTTCAGTAGATCCTTAGATCTGGGAGATCTCTGCTCTCTAGGTAATAAGGTCATGCCTCACATACCATCGGACCTGGTGGTTCCAATTCATCAGAAGGGATCTCATCAATGTCTGCACTGCCTTCTCGCTTCCTCATGTTCCTGAGCCTCCAGCAGTTGCTGGAGAGCCCTGGCAGGTCCATTGCTATGCATTTCCCTGACATTTTTCCTTCCCCTTTTGTTATTTTCTGTTGAAGTGCTGTGGACTTGGCATTTTTGCCTTCTTTTGTTTTCCTCTCTTCATCTCATTCTGCCATCCTGTTCAGAAACATTCGCTCATGCTCTGTCTGCTTTTACCAGGGAGAGGAGGCTTTGCTTTGACCATCAATGGCTGGCCCCGAACAAAACTCACCCTGCGTAAAGTTCCTTTGCAATTCCCCCTCGCCAAGAAATGAATAATTGGAATTAGCAAGAAAGGTGCTAGCCAAATCATACAGCGAACGCTCTGTTTCCCGGGTGGTGATAAATTCTCTCCGGACGACCGGATTTTCCCAAGTTACCATTTCGAGTCCTTTGTTTGCCTCTCCCCTCCCCATTTTTTTTTGTCTTCCTGCCATACAAAGTGTTGTTCCGTCTTGGTCTCGACTGTTTTACACTGAATGTATGTGCCTTATTTCCAGACACCACTGGTGCGGATTGAGATTATTTTTTTTATCAATGACTGAGGTGTTGCAACCATGATTTTCACTCAGTGGAAACTGTTAGCCAGTGATGCCATATGTATTCTTGGTGTCTCTTTGGGAGTAGAATCACCGTATCCTAGCCATTTTTTTCTCCGAGCTTCATGCAAACGTGCCGTCGGTGAATCTATGTGCCCCGTGATACATCTTCCACGTCATATAGATGAGGTTTTGCTCCACTTTCACCCACGATCTATGTACACAAAGCTGTATGTGATAAGTCAGTTTCCTCCTGCGCCAAAACGTTCTTCCTGCATTTCTCTCACAACTCGCATGGGAATCTGAATCACGGAAGATTCATTGGTTTCTTAATTTCCTTCTTTATTGGCTCCTTTCAGTCCACTGAGTTGCACCAATTGTGATGAGCAGAATTTTTTTCCCCCAGCTTATATTGTTCGCAAGAGCTCTGAATAAAGACGTCCATGGACAGTTTTTGTTTATTTATTTCTTTTATTTATTTATTCTAGCTCCGCTGTGAGAAGTTCAGGGATCATCTGGGCATCCCCGGCAAATTGCCGCTGGAAACTTTGTTGCAAATTGTGGGAAGATAATGAGTTCCATTAGGAATACTTGACCTTTAAAGTGCTATATTGTATAATCCCTGTGCAACTCTGCTATCTTTTTCTCCCCTTTATTGCACCATAATTTGTTCAACTTGCAAATGAATCTTAATTTCCCTCACCTCCTGTAAGTGTAGGACTGGACTGGTTCCTCTTTTCTCGAAAAAACTCTCGTATATCTGCCACAGAAAATGAAAAACTTCTGTGGTGAAATTAACTCCCGCATTGCACGCAGTTGTAAGGCTTCAGTGCTTTCTCAGATTGCAGTGTTGGAACTTGGGAATCATCCCTTGGTGGCAGTTATTGATTTTTTCTTATACGTGCTTCAAATATCAAAATTTCTCTAATAAGGTATCTTTCAACTAATTGACTTTCTGTGGTTACTTTCTGCCGGTATTATTACTATTACTCTTGTGGTAAAGTCAAATTACTGTAATCGGCTGCCTCGCCGATTTCAAAGACAGATGTTATCGATTCCCTTCTCGGCCCTGTCGGGCTCATCGCCAGGTAGACGACACGATTTTTCCCCATCCCCCCCTCGCAGAAGCGATCGTGCCTTCGATGTACGAGGTCGAGGGCGAGGAGGTGGAAGGTGGCACGGTGCCCCTGCAGGAGCTGCTGAACCCTCACACCCACCTGCTGCTGCTGACGGTGCCGGCCACGTTCGACGTCCAGGCCCTGAGAGGCCTCGCCTTCAGTGCCACCGAGTCCACCGACCTCGGGGGGGACATGGCCATCGTGCCCACCCGCTCCGTCTCCGGCCTTCACCTCTGTGGCACGGATGCCGACAGCGGGGTCGGTTTCACACCTGTCTTTCGTTTTTTACTAATTATTTTTTTCGTGTCGTTTGTTCATGCGAGGTGTATTCTTAAAGTAGCAATCGCTGTGGCGCAGGCCCTTCATTTTTCCAGTAGCAGCACTGTTATGCCAATTGCAACATTTATTATGTGCCTATGTGAAATTTCAAATTTATCTAATTTCATTAATTTCTTGATTCAACCAACTGTGCCTGGGAACTCCGCAAAAGAAATTGAGAAGAAAAATTCAAAACTGAATTGTCATACGAGTGTGGAAAGAAAAATTCTATAATGCTCAACATTACATTAAAATGCTGTGATACTTCGTTCTCGATGCATCTCCTGCTCGTTCTTGACATGATTAATTGATTTTAAGTCTGCTTGCCGGCTTTAATATTGGCTCGAGATGGACTTCACTCTCATTCATCCTCTACAATCGGTGGGGAAATAATTTTTTTGCCCAGAGCGTTATGCTCATCCTCTCTGTGTACTTTTCACTGTTTGCTGAGAAATGTGGAATTGGAGATGCCCGTTAGTTTTTCCACGGTACTCGATAGGGAAAACCGAATGCCACATGACGTCATCGGTCCCGACGTGCCTTGCTTTTGCAACTCGTGTCGAAGAGAGCCCCTAGAACGATACCGCGAGACGATTGCTGCCTTTGGTATGACATGCTTAGCATCGTTGATTACAGTCGAAATTGTCCTTTGACCCTCTCGTGCATGCAAGCCTCTCCGGAGGTAAAATACGTGCCTTTTAATGAGGCTCTATGGGCACATACATTTGCAAGGAGGCCTTGTGCAAGGACAGCAGATCTTCAGGTCTTCGCAACTGGCCTGCGGGCGAATTAAAAGCCTCGTTTTTTGCTCCAGATCAATAGAAACAATGAGAAATGTGTCAATCACTTATGAAAGATACAGGCACGAGGCGGTTGAAGAGTGGTCAATCTGCCTTCAACGGCTTTAACCTCTCGCACTTTTCTGCCCTTCCCATTTCGCTCGATGGCTATGTGCATGTACGTGAATCGCCAGAAAGATGTGTGCTGACGTGTCGATTTCCTCGGGTTTCGTCAGGAGCTGGCGGTAGTGCCGGCGCCCCCCTTGAAGGTGTTCCGGATGCAGCTGGTGTCCGGGAAGCGTCCGCTGCCCGTGCTGGTCGGCACGACGGAGCCGCACGCGTTCCCGGAGAACGTGGCCAGGCGGCACCCGCTTCTGGGTCCCGACTACGAAGGGATTCTCCGAGGAGTCCAAGGACCCTCCCCGACCAAGAGGCTCAAGAAGAAAAAGAAGAAGAAGAAGGCAAGTGATGTGCGGTGATGTGAGTCCTCTCGGGTGATGTGAGCCCTCTCTCGTGCTGTCGATCTCGGCTGGTAAAAATAAACGGCGTGGACCACGGCGACTTATCAGACGGCTGACACTCCTCGACCCATCCGTGGATCGATTTCAGATCGATTCGCAATCGGAATCGGCAGGCGATCGGTCCTGCGCACTGCTATTTTAAAACTTTATTTTCTTTTCTTAATGTTTTCTTGTTTTGTTTTCTTTAAACTCGAGAATGCGGACAGGGGCATGAGTTATACGTTTTGGCATGGAATCCATGATGCTCGATTGATCCGAGTCTCCGAGACGCATATCCCCGAGTTCCGTTCTCGTGGATTTTTTGGTGGACTCGGATGGACTCGGGTGGACCCCGGCCCAGAGCTGCGGGTCCGATGCGTCTCTGACGGTCGAGCCCATCTCGAATATTATATTCCTATAATATTCATGTTTTGTGGTGACACGAGAGAGAGGAGAGTTCTTTGTTCCCCATTATTACATCGACCATGAAGTTGCCTTCCCGACGAAAGGGGGAATGGGGACCGAGACGAATGGAGAAGGTAATTTATTTTCCCACTCACATCGACCGAGATGGATCGGAGCGCGATCAACGGGGGGGGGGGGGGGGGGAAGGGGGNGGGGGGGGGGGGGGGGGGGGGGGGGGGGGGAAGCAAGGGCAAGGTGAGCCTTTAAATAAGCGGGTGGTCCGTCGCTTCGTGCATAGAAAAACGATAAAAAAATGAAATGAACGATTTGGCCGGCACCGTCCGGCGGTTCCGCTGGCTCAGGAAATCACGAATTTGCGGGGAAAGAACGAAGTCTAGTAGTAGTCGAAGTCCTTGCACTCCTCGGGGCTTTTGGTCTTGCAGCGTTCCGCCCCGCAGTACTTGATGGGGTCGCGCACGATCATGTTGCAGGTGTTGAGGGTGCGGCAGGTCTCGTTGCAGGATTCGGGCGGGCGCGGCCAGTTGCGGCTCTTGTGCCTGCAGATGAAACGGTGGAGTAATTAATTAATTAAACTAATAAAAGTAAAAGACGAAGAAATCAAATTAAATGAGTTAAAAAGCAAAATATTTTATTTATTATATTATTAATTTATCCAAGTGAATTTTAAAATTTTGCTTTAAGTAAAGAAGTCAAAGGAATTAATAAATTCGATTTCGCGAAGGTGGAACTTCACTTAGGACGAATTGAAGGTAGCGTTTACGATTTAGGAAGAGGTAGCTTAAGATGGCGAGACTAAATGGAACTCCACGTGCTGCGTGAATCGCGAACAAAATACCGGTCGCGCGACTCCATGAGTACGTCTCGTCTCCGGGTTTCTTTTTTTTTTATTGGTACCGACCTGTAGTAATCCAGGAAGAGCGACTCTTCGCGGCGAACGTCGTCGACGAAGCCCAGCCAGTCCTGCAAGGTGAAGGGGCGGAAGCGGTAGTCGGTGACCGTGTTGTAGAGACGACGCCAGGCGGGCTTCCCTTTGCGGTTCGCCTCGGCAAGGTCCATCCACCACGTCTCCAGCATCTTCACCTCCTGGGGAAGGGGGGGGGGGGGTTGTGGTTATTGCTATTTGAATGCAGTCCTATCCGACCGTCCAAAAATAATCTTTGGCACTCGAAGGACACCACGAAGATGGTGGTCTCTCGCTGTCGATCGGCCGATCGCGCGTGGTCTCACCTTGGAATGGGCGTCGACGGTGTAGATGCGGTAGGCGGGGTTCATCTTCCTGAGGGGGGTGAGGCTCGGACCGAGGAAGGCGACGCCGAGGACAGTGTCATTGTCGCCGACCATCACCTGGAACCTGTCGTCGTGGTCGTGTCCGTAGAACTGGGCCTTCACCACGCCTCGGTACCTGGTCGGAGGGGAAAGGGGGGGTCAGGTCCGTTTTCGGGTCCGATTTCGCGCCTCGAAGAGTCTCACTTGTGGAGCAGGCGGAGGAAGTGGTGGGTCCAGGTGACGAGGCAGTCTTCGTCGCCGGGGGAGATGTGGGACACGAGGTGGACGTGGTCGCCGGCGTCCGAGGCGGACTTCAGCTCGCGGTCCAGCCATTCCAGCTGCTTACCGGGGTCCGAGTGGTCGAGATACGTGAACCTAGGGAGAGGGAACGGTTCCGAGATTCCGTGACGCCGTGAGGCGGATTCCGACACGGAAACGAGGCTTTGTTCTTTGCGTCGCAAGTTTTACGTTATAGTGTTCGCTGGCGCTACCATTGGTGATCAGGAATGCCCCTCGGATGGCTGTGCCGTTAAAGGCTTAAACAAAGGACAGAAATCCCTCGCCGGGGATGCCGCACGGAGGATCCCACGCGACACGTACCAGTTGAACTTGTAGCAGTAGTTGGTGTTGAGGACGACGATGCGGAGCCCCTCGACGGGTCTCACGACGAAGTTGCCGTAGGTCCTGAATCCTTGGACCTGGTCCTCCGGGATGTACTCCTTCCAGATGCTCGCCAGGGACTTGTAGAACCAGAAGTCCCCCGACCCAACCACCTCGTCGCTCCCGGGGAACCTGCGGGCAGGAACGCGTGGACCTCGCGGTCGTCTCCCATCGGGACGCGTGAGCGTTGCGCTCGCGTGTCCCAATGCTGCGTTGCTTTCCGTGCGGTTTTCAGCGATCTTTCCGCCAGTCGATTTCAATTAATTTTTTTTTAAGTAATAATTTTCGTCGTTTGGGAAGCCGTGATTTCGGTTTTGTCTGGTATTCGTCATTGCAAGATACATTTTTATTATAATATCATAGTTACAAAAGACTTTGCCAGTCTTTTTCGCTCTGCGATCGATGATGCAATTTCCGGCTACTTACAAAATACTCTCATGACGATGAAAAATTTAGAACGCATTCGAGCACATTTCCTTCCATCGGAACGCACGTACCCGAGCCCAACCCATTTTCTCCAGGGCGCTATTCCGTTTTCTCACCCTTTCGCCGCGTCGAAGTCGGAGGAATCGTGCTCGCACGCACCGTCGTCAAACGAGAAACGTTTCCCCCGTCGATTGGGGGAAATATTCCGTAATACCGCATGCTAAGTGAATTCGGCATCTAACTCATAGTTACGATAAGCACTTTAGTAATACCCGGAAGTTGCGATACCAAAGCTGAATAAAATTAATTTCGTGATCCTCGACATGCACACCTTCAAGGCATGCAAATTTTATTGAGCAGCATTTGAAAGCCCCCAGCGAATAACTCCCCATATTTTTTTCCCCCCTTTGAAAAAAAACACGTGGCGCAGTTCACGTTTAGAAAAACCTCGCCTGGAAGCCATGAACATTAACAAGCTTCTTTGTTTGAAATGAATACTTTTAATATACTCCCCTGATTGCCTTTGTTATTAATAAGAAGGATTTACTTAACGCGTTGATTTTTAAAGTTATAAGTTGATGAAGTTGCGGGAACATGGACTTAAATGAAAACCTTCCATTTTGACTCGTGTCGCTGTTGCTCCCTTCCGCAGTTATTTCGTTTTTCTATATATTCTATACCGCGGTACCATTTATTTTTGATGATCTGAATTAAGATGTTTTAAATAAATTTTATCGGAGGGCGACCACACTCGTGGATCGTTGGAAATCGTGGCTTTCTGGGGTCGCGCTCGCATTTTGGAGCATCCGGCGCGCATCGAGGCGAACTCGAGAAAGTTTCGTACTGATTGATGGGGAAGATGTCGTGGTTGCCGACCGCCGGGTAGACGGGGACGTCGGGCAGGGCCTTCTGGATCAGCTCCGTCACGACGTGGACCGTCTCCAGGTTCGCCGCGGGACTCTGGAACCAGCTGTCGTGCGCGGCCGTGTCGCCGGTCCAGACGATGTAGTCCACGTCCTGGAGGGGCGGGAGGGACTTTTTTTTTAACTCCGCTGGCGGATCGGGGGAAATTCGGAGTCGGTGCAAGATGCGGGATCGGTATTCTGTTCGAGTTGGTTTTATTTATTTTTCTCGGAGTTGCCGAGGTGACCGTGCCGAGGTAGCGGTGATCGAGCGGTAACAATGGGATTCTTGCAACTGTGGCTTTGGCGTTACGCATCGCATGAGCGTTTGTCGTTTGCGTGTACTTTTGATGACCCGCGATACCGTGCACGGTAATATTCATCATTTTAGCAGTATTTGCTAAAAATTCATTAAAAAGATAAATTATTGGCAACAGGATAGGAATAACTGAGCCAGAGTTGTCGAGAAGTAAAAAACAAAGGCATTGGGTGTGACCTCTCATCCAAGGGAATTTTTTTTTTCCCTCATGACATGCATTAATTGTGTCATCCAATTGTGGGACTCGAGATCTGTTCGACACCGATACGGTGCATTTCGCCGAAAGACAAAAGAATGCACCTGTCATCCCATTCGCCCCAGTAAAATTTTTTTTTTTACGCTCTCATTTCGCGATCGGGCGGAAGCGACCGAAAGATCAAACCGGATGGGACTCGTTGATGTGCTGCAGGAGGTTCTGGAACGTGTGGAGCGGGACGCCGCAGCCCTGGGCGTCCCCCCACTCCCCGAGGTCCACCTGCGCGTCCGAGGTCTCGTTGGTGCTCTTGCAGCAGATCCCCAGGAAGCACTTCCCCTTCCCGGCGCCCGAGTAGTCTCGGTCCACGTGCAGGTCCGTCAGGTGGATCACCTTCACGTCCCGGGACAAGTCCTGTGCCAAATGGATGCCGTGTATTTGGTCGTTCGATGAGGCCCGCGAATTTTTTTTTTTTCAAAGAGGAAGGGAGAAAATACTTTCTGTATCGAATTGCAAAGTTTCAGTTTTAGCTTCCGTTTTTAGAATTCACCACATTCCTTATGAGACGTTCAGTTGCTGCAGAAAGAATATTTGGGTGTACGAAAAGTGGGCAATGAACTTCAGCATGAAAGTGAAAAGATAGTGGTCGCGAGTGATGTAACCGGGGCGTTCGTTGCTTCGTTGCGGTTCCTTTAACCGGTTTACCCTTCCCCCCCCCTCGTCCCTATCGGTGTTTAATCTGGAAGCCGACCACCTATGACGCAACCGTCACCCTTCACGCATGGAATCCGATGTCTTTCCTGGAATGTTCTTTCTGCTTCTCGAGGCCGAAGGCCTCATTTCCTTCTCGTCCGAGGGTCTCCAGGGAAGGAAACCGGGGCGAGGAGACCTCGTGCGGTTACGTTGACCGCGGGCATGTGTCATTTTATCAAAACGGCCACACCCATCCCGCCTTACTTATATTTTTCATCGCGTCCGTATGGGAATTTCCGCATTTTGTGCTTCGAAACGATCGCATCGTCGATGGTATTGCAAGATATCTCCGAAATCTCCCTGTGATCTTTCAAATACGATTAGACGATCGAGGAGTGTTGCAATTGTAATTTTCCATGCGCCGTAGGTTAGTCGGATGGAAAAATTTTCCTAATCGTACGATCTCCATGCAACCGAAGTGACTCGGGACGCCTAGAACTAGCGCAGAATAGTAGGGAAATCGGAAAAGGTACTCGAGAAATTTTGCACCCTGTCGGGGATGCGAAAGAGAGAGAAGCTTGCCTTGCTACGCCTGACCATGTCGCCCTCGTGGTCGCCCTGGCCGTCGCTGTCACCCTCTTGGTCGCCCTGGCCGTTGTTGCCACTCTCTTGGTCGCCCTGGGCGTTATTGCCACCCTCTTGGTCGCCCTGGGCGTTGTTGCCACCCACTTGGTCGCCCTGGCCGTTGCCACCCTCGTCGAGGCCGTTCTCGGAGATCGTTAGGTTCCAATACAGGGCGTGTTTGTCGCCGCAGCTGTATTGGGTGAGCCCCCCGCACAGCCCCTCCGGTGAGAGATGCGACCCCGCCGCCAGCACTTGAAACACCGTCTCCTGATGGGCACAGAGATTTCAGTTAGCGAGTGACTCGAGCCAACATAATTGGTATCTTCGATCGTGTAAACAACGGCTCGCCGAGAACCCTCTCTATATGACCTTCATCATTCAGGGTAAAATGTAGCACGATTCCTTCCTCGGGTTGGGCTCGGATCGCTTGGGAAAAGGTGGGGTGGGTACAGAAAGAAGCAAGCACGAAGTTTTAAGAATTAATTTCTTGCCCTCCACGTGTCACAGACCCCTAATTTCCGGCAGTAACGCATTTGCAAGCTTTAATCCACGGAAAAGATCTGCGGAGGCGTTGAGTGTGGCTACCATGCCGTACGACTGCCGTCGCCGTTTGTCTATGGCCCTGTCCAGAAATCGCTTTCCACTCTAAAAAAAAAATTGTCTCCCCCCCCAATCTAGTTTTAGAATTTCCTGCAAGGGTTTCTGTCTCAGGGCGATTTCTGGGTAGGGCCATCGAGAATGGTGACTGCGCATGAAATGATGAAGCACTCGAAACGGTGGGGCCTCAGTGAAGGATGACTCGGCTTTTCCGTCTGCAAGTTTAAATTTGCAAATGCGTTGCTGTTTACAGTGTTTTTCACTTGAGTTAGACATTTTTTCACTTGACTTCGACAACGGTGCATCGTGAGGGTGATATAGCGGATCGACGCAGAAACTAGGAGTTCCATACTTAAGTGCAGATGTCGTGATGACATTGGCGACAACGATGATGATTAATTTCCTGCTGAA